CTATCAAATGAACTGCCTTGATTGTAATTAAAATTACACCGTAGAAACGAGCCAGAATTCAATGAAAAGATTACAACACAAAAATATTTTTTAAAAATTTAGACAATTTTAAACTATGCTCACTAACCACATTAATACTTGAAAACACAATATGGATTTTTTAACTCGATTGCAGTACAATTTGAAGAAAATTTATTCAAAAGACGCGTTATGGAAGGATCTTTTGTAATCATTTATAATAATAGAAATATAAATAAAATACAATAAATTTTTTTGTCTAGATTATATTTCCAAATTTCTCACAAAATAATAAAAAATGTGCAAAATATCTGCAATTTAATATAATATTTTTTAAAAAATCCTTCAACATTATGTCTCCAACTAGTACATATCTTGTACACTTACTCTTTTGAAGTAATTTTAGAATAAAGTTAGAAAATGATGATGATAATGGAGAAAAGGGACCACTTTAGTTTATGTAAAAAATATGGTTATAATATATAAACACATAGTGGCCACGGGCGGATGCATTTCTCTACATTTTTTTAAATTATAAAATAGTGACTACTGACAAATAGTACTGCGTTGCAGTTTATAATTTCATACTAGCTACTTTACATTATAACTATTATGGGTTAGTTTTGTTCTAAAAATTTCATATTCACTGATTATGGCGTTGAATTTTACGTCTAAACGTATGGAATGATAAAGATGTTTTAAAAATCGTTATATTATCTTTTCTACTTGGTGTTACACCCTCCAAATCAACATTAAATTAAACTATGCTCAACATAAAATTTCAGCTAAACATAAAATTGAATTGAATGAAAGATATAAATAAGTAATTAACAAACATATGAATTATTCTAGGGCTCTACAAAGCAATGTAGCAAGTCCTATATTATTTTTATATCTTTGAGTGATACTAAATATAGAGAGGGAATATATGAATAAAATCGCTTCATAATATTTCTAACAAAAACGCAATTTTCCGGCGCGGCGAACCATTTGTAATGTGTATTTGTTTCTGTGACAACCCTCGCATCTGCGCTCGCCGCAAGAAGAAAGGAGTGGAAATCATAAAAGGCACTTTTCGGTGCGTTTGATCATTCAGATCACGCAGCCCTAGTGCATCGCAGTCGCGTCTCGGCCTTAAATTTAACGCCCGCCGCTGCCGCTGCCGCCGACGCCGACGCTGCGAAAGCGTTTCGACGGAAATATGTTTTCATTTTCGGTGATGTACGTACGTCATCAGTCTTCGCGAAACCACCCCCGTGGGTGTAGTTACACGGGGCTCTACGGTTTACACGACGCAGTCTTAACAATAGACCAAGAGGCTGCCATTATAGAGTGCATGCATAAGGTGTTTCATTTCTTTCAGAACAAATATATAGAAATGGAAAATAATATACTACGACTCAATGGAATGTGAATTTTGCTGCTTGATGGCTGACTGGAATTCTATTTTTATTAATTTTAGTAATTATAGAAGCGATACATTTGAATGTTCTTACTCTTTTATTATCATTGAGTAGACAACTATGCATCAAACAAAATATCAACTTCAAAAACCTATAGCATAAAACTATATTTAGAAGTGAAAATTTAATCAGTTCTTCATTTTGTCAATACCAATAAAATGTTTTTTAAATCATTCAAATCAGACGCTCCGTTACCTCAAAAACTAAATTAAAATTTTTAGTACTTTTTGCATCGTATCTTAGAAGCGGCTGGACCTGCCTTTGCCAAAAACTAATCAGCACGTCTCCCCGTCGACACAAATTGAATGTTTTTTGAACTATTCTAATCAGTTGATCTGTGTTCCCAAAATTCTCGAAAAATTTGGATCCGAACAAACACACATACACATACTATAACGTTTTCTAAAGTATGCCAAAATGTTCAGAAACCTTTGGAACTTGAAGATATGTAAAAATTTTCATTTTCAATTTTTTTTCGATTACTATAACTTACCCTACGGGAAGTTAATAAAGCTAATGTTTTGGCACAAAAATTATTTTAGCCGAAAGCCCTAGTTGACCAGTAAGGAAAAATTTATCTGAATTTTTAATTTTGTCAAAGCATTCAGCAAACATAAAATAAGAACCAAAACATCATTTTATTTAAATAATTACATTATGATATATTATCATTAGTTTGAATTTCGAATACAAAGCTGAGCAAAGTGAAAATGCTTCATGTATTGTTCCTAGCAGGAATAAAAACGCATAAAGAACAATTGGAGCAATACGATGTTGGTTAAAACAATGACCCAGAAATGAAGGCAATTACAAATAAAAGACGCAGTCGGTAGTAAAACTGACTAATGGTTTTATACAAATGGTATTAGGCTTAGGAACAATAACACGCTTTCCAATTCTAGAAAATCCTGATCAGGAATTAGTGTATATTGGAGTTGGGTAACTCTGGAGTGAGTCATAAACGATGATATGACTCGTTGCTTCTTGGAGTCTATCCAAGTGGAGTTGTATCTGATAATTTGTCATATCCGACTTCCCTAAACTGATGCTAAATTTGTAACAAATACAGATATTTGCTTGTGGTTTTTTACGAATACAAAGAAAGATTCGCGGCGAAAGAAGCGATCGCTTTCTTGTCGTTATATGATGTCGTTTTAAGATTTTCGTTTTAATAATTTTAAGATTTTCTAGGTATAAAATGACCAAAAATAATATCGTTCACCATAAAATACAAAAATATATAGAAAATTGCAGAACAATGAAATTGTGTTCAAGTGTGAACAGCTCAAATGCATAAATTATGTAATAGCAAAAAGTCATATTTATAACTACGATAATCTTTGTCCGTAAATGAGTGCAAGCAAGAATTTTCATGACGATCTGGTTTTTCACACAAACCTGAAATAACTATGCCAAATATTCAGTGATTTCAATGGTATAGAAACAGAAAAATAATAATTATATAATTATGAGAAAGTATACACTGTATACATATTGAATTTTTCAATATTTAATCAATCGTAACACCTAGCCAAGTATTGTACAATAAATCAAAAAAAATTATGCAATAATTATCGGAATTATAATAATTATTAAAACTGAACGAAAAAAGTCTACCAATATGTAATTGATAAATCAAATTTCTTCAATGTGATATTTTACAATTTCAGATATAGGACAATGGAAATCATCTCCAGCTCTCTGCCTATAAAGAGCAGAGGAAGAAGCAAACAAGCAGAAGTAAGGCGGCGTACGCGTGCGAATAACTTTCATCGGAATGAAGATGTACTGCTGCAGGGCCTGCTCTTTCCGCATAGAACACATGCCCGATACGCACTTCAACGCTCGTTACGCATATATTCGTCACTGACAAATACACGCTGAGAATATATCGCAATCGTGATCGTGAGAGCCTAATCTTGATCGAAAAAACAGGAAATGTTTTAATAAGCGTTTCACCTGTGGTGCCGTCGGAAAACTTATTCCACGCTAAATATAAAATGTTTAATAGTTTTGTCGGATACAGCTGACATTATTTTCTACATATATATTAGTACACTACACGAGTGACTTCAAGAAATAACGAAAGAAGACTTTTCTATGTATTAGTACTATAATACATAGCAGAATTTGATGATGTTTTCCTTAAATAAATCTATTCCAAATCAAATAAATTCATTGGTAAAATAATCAGTATGATTGTGTATTTTGTACATTTAATTCCAATACCAATTTGTTAACATCCTGGAGGGTAAGTTTTAGTTATCGCGAAACAAACGCAAACAAAATTTTTTTATAAAACGTGGACGTAAATATTTACACTTTTCTGCTTTTTAAATTTTTGAGATCGCTTCAGCCGTTTTTTGAGAAAACGTCGAAGAAAAGTCAGAAATCAACTCACACACACACAAGTTAAAAAGGATTCACCAGCATTTGGCTGAATTCAATTAAACAAACTTAAAACAAATATATGAACTGCGCTTAAGATACTCGAAATACTACATTGATTAACTTCCCTCAGAAAGTCGTTAACGTCAATATAAGAGAAAATTTTAGAACAGACATATTAATATACTAAATACATTCAAATTTCTAGATTTAGATCTATAATTCATGTGTTTATTAAATATCGGAAGTTTAAAAATATAGTTTCAAATTATAACGTACCATTTTCTTTTACTACTCTGCTAAGATTATATTATTATATTTGATAGCAATATTTTTATTAGTAGCCAATAATTTGTAACAAAAATTATTCATTTAATCATAAATTAATTTATTCCACAATTATGAAAATTATATTGAATAAGCGTATCAATTATTGCAATTGTACCCTTAATAGAAAATTTGGAAGCAATAACAAAACATTTAAATATGCATTATACTCATATTTGCATGTAGGTTGTCAAATATCTCCCTTCCGCTTTTTTGCTCTTGGTTTATAATACAAAAAGGCGGAAGGGAGATATTTGACAACCTTATATATATATATGCTCCTTATTTTTAATATGAAATATTTTAACTTGTATATATATAAGCTTCGTAACAGAAGGTGTTAGATTAAATTGTTATACAGAAATAACGTATTTGGCAATAAGTAATTTATATCATGTGTTAATATGTATTTTTGTTAAATTCAAATTATGTATAGGATATTCCACCGATAATGAGACAAACCACGGTCTTGAAACGTTTGTAGTTTAGTACTTCATGAAATAAAGTTAGTGCAAAAATAAAGCGTATTATTTCATATTTGAAAAAAATATGTATATAGAACATTTTCAATAAGATCAGAATTGATTTGAAAATGATGTTTCTGATGTGTGCATATAAAATAATGAGACAAACCATGGTCTCGAAACGTTTGTAATTTAGTACTTCATGAAACAAAGGTAGTGTTAATATGTATACTTACATATAAAAGGTAGTGCAATAATGAAGCGTTGTATGTTCATATTCGCATAAATCATTTTCATATAACATTTTCAATAACATCGAGTATTAAAAAAAGTTTTTTACCTATGAAGATGATGTATCTGACGTGTGCATATCAAACTAATTAATGTTTTCTGCTGACTCTTGTAGAATGCATGCAGAACAAAATCACAGCTTTATCTGCAATAAAAAATATTCATATACTAATTTGTTAGTAAAAAATAAAATAATTTATATAAATTACTGTTATACTTTGACATAATCATTTTGAAGAAGTTTGAATTATTACTTAATTCCATAATTATTTTCATCGTTCTCAAAATACATTTATCTCAAGTTGATTTACATGCGCCTGTGAACATAACATTATGGTGTAATTCTAACTGGTCTCAGTGAACTCGCAAGATACACGCGAAACAAAAACATTTTCCAGCAATTTCTAGAATATTTGCTGATAAATTGTTAGTAATTTACTGTAACGTTCAACCCCGTTTTCAATTAATCAAAAAGTATTGCGCTTAAGGAAATTGTGCGGGCCGCCTCACGCCCGAGTAACAAGAAACTTTCATACAATTCACCGCAAGACTGTGTATACTCAGACGCAACTCATTACTCCTCTCCGCTTATCACTTATCATAGTTTTACGGTTTGCGATCATAATTAAACAGCGAGTAGTAATTTATCATAGTTGTCGTAGCCTAACAGCTAACAGCTAACATAATCCAGTCATGTCATTCTGTTTGCCCAACTAGTGCAAAAGTTCACCAATTATAATCGCATCTGCGCAATGGTCGGGTGATCCGTCTTTGTTGAAGTAATGGACTAATTCCGGTCTTTCGAGTCTCGCTTTTAAATCCCTCGTGGATTATTGATGCTTTGTACAAACACGTTTACGTTGAAAATAAATCATACGGTGGAAATTATTAACCAAAAGACTACTTTTCTTATTCAAGACGACCAGATAAAGAACTCAATTTATTATCAATTTGTTGCAGTACATGAATTTATTTAAATGCGAAGGCTTACAGTACAAATAAATAGTAGTCACATGTGTTAAGTAAACGATGCGCATTAAAGGAAGCACGGAGAAATCAAAAAATAAATCGTCAGTAAACTGGTTTCTTAAGGTTGTCACACAAATTTATTTATAGATGTACAGACTGCCTAACAAGCTGAGTTGGATAAGAGACTAATTTACGGCGCCATGTCGTGCAGAATACCTTAATTGTTATGTGATAATATATATCAGCGTAAGTTGTTTTCACGGATAATTCATGTATATATTCTTTTAATTTGAACTTTATATTGAAATAATCATGAAACCGAATATAATCAAGAACTCCTTATCATTTGATACAACTTATGAAAAATGGATATGTGTCTTTGTAGTATGTGGGCAGTGTGAGAAGAGTCGAACCGATTTGGATGGTTTAAAAAATATTTTAATTATGCTTTTAGCTATCTTTCAAATCAATCAATCAATAACATCTATAAATTAATAATAATAACATTAATTAATACTGAAACTCATTAATACTAAAAACTTACATTATTTATTACTAACATCTAATATTTATTTCAGATTATTTTTGTAATACAGAAAGTTTAATAAATCAATAATAAAAAAAATATATCATTATTACTGCAATTACTATTAATTTGAGTACATAAACCCAAAATAAGCCAAGCATATAATTGCAACATATTAATTTCGGCAAAACATTTGTTATGATATTTTCTCTTTCAAATAATATCGTTTCTATGAGCTTTACCATAGATGGGATTTAAAGTTATTATTATGCAGTTCATATAAGTCTTTTCGATTCCTAGTCTAACCTAATACATGTAAATTTTAATTGTAATTAACTAGTAGTGCACAGCATCATGTCTTAAGGCAAATTGCTGGAACTACTCGTACCACGACTAAAAATTATCAAAAGCTTTACAATTTTTTGAAAATTAAAAAAAAATCGATTTAAGAACTTTGGATATTTTTGAATCATTCAAATCTGTTGATCAGTGTTCTCAAAATCGCCGATGAAAAATCGTATCCGCATACACATATCAACTCACACGCACACACATCCAATTTTAAGGTATGCCAAAATGTGTCAAGGTTTTGAAACTTAAAGATATAAAAAAAATGATTTCAATTTTGGCGATTACTACGGGAAGTTAAAAAAGTCAATAACATATCTAAAATGTTGTTAATAACGTTAACGTTGTCGTTAACAACGATACATCGCCCATGCTATAATTTGAATGATACATGTTAGAATTTCTATATAATACACAGACTGCAATAAAATTAAATAGAAATCCATTTCTGCTAAACGCTAAAATTTTATTATTTATTAAAAATAACAGTGGGAATTCATTTTTCGTATTCTTCCAAAGCAAAATTTTAAATTTCTTTACTTTTGATTCAGAACCTTGTACGTTCTAACTATTTAAAGCAAATAGTAACCTTATAACATTTCCTTAAAATGTATCGAGACGAGTTTCTTTCACCTTTCTATCTTGTTCTACCTCGATACCTTCGCTTATATCATGTTCAAATAAAAATACATGTCACAAATATCTATAAATAAGTTTTCTTCTCCCCGACGTAAATCTAGAAAAGAACAAACCTACAAACAACTTCTATTTCATTGTAGGAAAGTTAACCCGCTTTGATAAGACGCAATAATCCCGATTCACGGCTGTAATACTGTACAGATAGATATATTTACGGAAGGATGGACGTTTCAAAGTTGAAAGAAGTCCGCAAACTTAAAAGACGGAGAGCTGTCAAGTGCGCATCAACGCGGCAGCCGCGCGGCTTCTTCTCTCTTGCGAAACGACAAACTGACAACGATATTGTTGACTACGAATATTTCTTTCAAACTTGTCCATTCTACACTGACATCGAAATGACGAAAGATCGCGTATAACAGCTTTAGACATTTAATGTCTTTTGAATTATATATGAAATATGACGTATACAAATATACTACTGTATACAAATGTCAGACATAAATCAAATTATGTAGGATGGTGTTTATGCGAGAGATTAGTGACCGTGAGGTTAAATTCAAAATTTTGTAAATATTTTTTTTATTATTCTCATATCTTAACAGCAATCAGAACCGCCTTATAAGTTGTTAGGCTGAAACTTCCCCTTTCTTCGTATTTTTAAATCCAATGGTTAATCCATCCATATTTGATGATATTATTATTTGAATTTATCTAATAGGGCTGACTTTTTATTGATGCAGCAATGCTGGGTGAAGGCTATTTTCACTTGGTAACATATTGCTATCTATATTTCCAAGTAAAAATCGTTATCGGGACCTCTGAATGAAGTCCCGTCGCTCTTAACCGCTTACCTATGGCCCTATTCAAAATTAACAATATTACTAATAAATAAATTATAAGTATTTAAAAATCAAAACAAATTGTACGATGAATGTATAATGAAAAACGAAAAACGTGAATTTTACGTCATAAGTTACAGCTACGAACATAATTATAACTTGGATGGCAATTCCAAAATCCCAAGAATAAATTTAAACGAAATCTGATATAACTAGTCATAATTTAACTATCTTTGGAAAAATAGATTAATTTGGAATTATAGTATTACTCGTCTTCTGAATAATAATCAGTTATTTCATTATTCCATTCACTTGCCATCTAAAGAAACAAATCTGAAAACGATATAAGAGCATAAAAGTCCAATTTGACTTCGAGCAATTATATTGTGAAAACCAAACCAATTATATCACAACAAATAACACATATCAAACAAACAACTATCCGAGTAAATTCAATAAAACTCAGCTATTTTAATATTGTAAAAATGTGTTTCTTTTGCTTTCTCAATAATTTGTCACTTAGCCTTTTTAACACCATAGACAGGGTTAAATAGGAGCATAAAAGTCCAATTGGACTTCGACCAATAATATAATGAAAACCAAACCAATTATATCACAACAAATAACACATATCAAACAATAACTATCCGTCTATATTCAGTAAAACTCTCAGCCACATTAATATTGTAAAAATGTGTTTCTTTTGCTGTGTCTCAATAATTTGTCACCTAGTCTTTCTCACCCCACAGAGAGAGTTAAATGGAACGACCAGAGAGAAAAACAAGTCCAATATCTTATTTTTAATTTTTAGGGGATTATACGAAATAATAGCTACATTATTCAATCAATGCAAAATATAATGGGTACATTTTTTATAGAGACTACACTTTATATATTCTTGATCTGGTATTCCGTCAGAAATATTCATCAGCAGAGTTAAAGAAACTATTTATTTAATTTATCTCTTGTTTTCTTTGTAACTTAATTTTCTTTCTTGTTTTTTATAGTTTACATCTTTGCCAGGGTAAAGGTTTAGTTGGTCTTTTTTACCCCACTCATTTGTAAGCTATATATATTATATATTTGTAAGCTGTATAGAGGTTATATAAAAAAAAACTAAAATCTGAATCTAACTTAAAAATATCAATACAACTTATAAAACAATTCAATAACGTATACCTAAAAATATATTAAGGTCTCGTAAACTAGACAACAGTGCTCACAATCAAAAAAATTAACAAGGAAAGAAAATTGTTATGCATTTTCAAACATTGCCGTTTATCTGCCAACAGCAATGTCATGAGAATCAAGGTGATGGCTAGTTATACATATTTTTCCCTATATGTACTTTGGAATATTGTTGTTGAAAAATTCTTAACTTTAGTTGTATTTGATATATCGGTGCTGGACATGTGAACCTCTAAGCCCCGCTTTACCCTACTTGTAATTATAAACTGAATAAATTTATTATAAATCGGTGTTCATCTCTAATATATTTATTGATTATGATTTGGATAGATTAATTTCGAGTATTTTAATTTTACCACTTCAAAATGAAAACTTATTTAATAAAGGTTTTGAAAAATATGTATTTGTAAAAAAATGTGCATAAATGTTTTTACATAACGTTAATTATCTAACAAGCAATATCGGTATCTTTCCAGATAATTGATTTACCAATTCAATTTAACTTTAAAACAATTTCTTCTGAAATATGCAGATTTATTATAATACGCGTGTGTTACTTGATTGTGAGAAACAAACAGAAGGAGGAAATGAAGATTTGAAGACATCATGATTAACGAACACAGCTCCGTTTGTGTT